CCATGAGGTACAAATCTTTGTAGTTTGGGTGGTTTTGTTTCTATTTTTTTAATTTAGATCTATTGATCTAATTGGGTGGTCAAATGAGATAGGATAGTGATTAAACTGACACTTTGACATCTGCAGAGTAACTGAAGGTCCCTCATCTACAGGAAACACTTGCCTTGAAAGCATGGATGTTTGTGTTGTATTGACACTTCTAATAAGAGTCACTGAAAGATTTCTTTCAATTTCTTCATTGACCAAAAGTCTCCTGCTGATGCTGAATGTCTTGATTATAATGGCACTCCTATAGAATCCTTCTATACATTTGTTGAAAATGCTAGAGTGTAAATACACAGCCATTTTTGTTCCTTATAAAAGAGTTTTCCTTATAAAGAGAACCCACAAAAGATGCTCTTTAGCCTTGAAACAGATGTGCAGTACACTGATAATAAATATATTTCATCTATTTTCACTAGCAACTACTTTAAATCTACAATTTAATTAAGTGTATAAAAAGCATACTATCTTTTAAGTTGAACCAAAGGCAGGGAGTCAAAAGTTATATTTCCATTTTCAGTTCAAAGTCCATAACCTTCATGAGGACAGTTTACAATAAAAAGAGAATATTTTAACTATGTCTGTGACTAGCATCTTCACAGATTCATTAGAGTCACTCATTATGTCACCAAAAAATGACACCTGGTAACATGCAGTCTAGAGTCCAGAAGGCACCTACTTGAGAACACAATAGTGGTTACCAGGGGCTAGAGGTGGGGGGGTCATGGGGAGTTGTTCAATGTGTATAAAGTTTCACTTATGCTAGATGAGTAAGTTCTAGAGATCTGCTATACACCATAATGCTTATAGTTAACAGTATATTGTATACTTCCAAGTGTGTTAAGAGAGTAGAGCTCAATTTAAGTGTTATCACCACAAAAGGGGTGGGGGGGACACAGGAAAACTTTGGGAAGTTTCTTTGGATATGTCTATTGCTGTACTTTAATTGTGGTGATGGTTCATGGATGTCTGCATATGTCCAGCCTCATCAAATTGTACACACTAAATATGTTTAGTTCTTTGGATATCAATTGTACCTCAGTAAAGCTGTTTTTTAAAGCATAGAAAGAAGAAGGCACCTACTTAAGCTCTTTCCCAAATCCCCTCAGAGGGGCAGGAGAAAATAGTAGGTCTCATGGCAAAATTTTTCTTGAGCTAGCTCCCTCTTCAGATAGACATCCTTCCCTAGGAAATGTGAACTGCTGGTTGTCTAAGCAAGAGTTTTCATGTGTGTGGGTAAGAAAGGAAAACCTATTCCCCATTTTTGTGGGAAAAAAGAAAAAAGAAAAAGCACAAGGACATGGAGGACCAGCTGTTATAGCCAAATAATTAAAATATATAGAAGT